TCAATATGGACGAAACAAACTCATGGCGGTCTCCGGTGGCGGCATTGGTGGTTAGCCAAATGAGTCTCGTACCAGTACAGGCGAAGTAGTGGTATGGGTTTCTTAGAATTTGTTTTTCTGGAACTTGATTTGAACGAGAAAGAGAGACTGTATCTTTTGGAATGAGATAAATTAGGGTTTGTTTGGTTAATAGTGTAATGGTAAAATTGTTATTTTAAATTATGAGTCGGGGTATTTTAGTATTTTCACTATATGAAAACAATAATTTTAAAAAGTTTGGGGTGGTTGTGCCCCCTGTCATAAGCATGTTCCGCCACTGTCCCCAGATGGTATGAGATTATGGACTTCATATTTTAGATTGCGAGAGAGGTCTACTCGGTAAGCTTAAACTTTCGCCTGAGTGTCACGCTAGAGAAGGATACATTTGTGACATACCAGGTGATGTTGATTTGCGACATTTGAGATATTTTGTGTGTGAAATAATCAAACCAGAGCCAATAAACTTATAGAAACTGTAGACAAATGTGAACCATTCAAAATCTGGCATGCTGATTCCGGAGGCATATCTCTGGTTCCGCACCATATTATTTTGTTTTGGAGATGCATCTCTGGAACCTCTCCTGAACATGTTTGAAAACAGAACCTTTGAAATAGAACTTTTTTTACAAATGAATATATTACACTTCATTAGTATTTAGACATAATTACATGCACTTATTTGTCTGACTAAACACGAAATTAAAATGAATCGAAATATTTTTCGGCAGCTAAATCTATGGGTGGTACCCCCTTTGACTTTTGTGCATTTTATTCTCTTTTAATGTTTGCTCAATTTCTCGAGCTCTTGCATCCTTTCCATAAAATGGTTCGGCCAAGTCTCAACTTTTATTGTTGAATGAATCGTCCACTCCAGTGATGTAAGTGGTATAGGGCATCCCGATTTCAAGTAAACTTGAACAAAATATCGTGATTTTGAAAGCCACCCAATACACATAATACAATCATTAGGATTTTGAGGTGGGACGATCCACAGTGGGAAAAGGTTTTGGAAAAACCGTATTGTGTAAAATCAACACATACTCTATCATGCACATGCTATGAGGTGACTCATTTCAGGGAAGCGCATCCATTTTGCCTCTGGTGTCGGTCCGCTAAGGAAAGGAACAAGAGACTCATAAACTTTATTAAACTTTTATTTCTTTCCGTACATTCGTGCATATGATTATTTATGAGTCCCCAACTCTTGGATAAGTTGATGGTGGGCAAGTGTATGATTATCTTCTCCTTTACCGAGTAAAAACGAAATAGCTCGATAACCGCAATTACCATCTCCCTTAATATTGATGATCAACTCGATGTATTTATGCATAAAAACCGACATTTCATCAATGAATGAAATCTTTGGTGGAGGCAGAGTAGTTTGCTAATGTGAGCTTCTTTGACAACACTTTTTTGAGATTTTGGAGTTGGTGATTCGGGAAAAACTTTATCAACATGTTCAAAATATGAAGGAAATTGTGTATCTGAATTATCATTCGGTGTAGGCTTGATTTTCTTCGGAGCACCTTTTATTTTTACTAGTTGAGAGGGTGGTTCATATCGGTGGTTTTCGAATAAGAAATCTTTCTTAATTGTTCTTTGATGTGGAGTTTCATGTTGTCATTGGCTTTCAAAAACCTCTCTTGTATCACTTCCCATTCGATCAAGATAGAGATATTCGATTTACCATCTTTCATGACACCATCATTATCGAACTGAATCCTCTTTCGGTAAGAGCAAGCATCACCCATTCCTATTGGGCTAAACGGTTTCACCTTTTTGGAAATAACACAAGCACATGGGAGACCATATGTTTTCACAATTGTGCATCCACACTTTGCGCTATCAGAGCCTATATTATCAATTCGTTTAGTCCCGTGAAAAATATAATCCAAACCCGCATGAGATATGTTGCCGACTAACTGAGCGTAAAGATTGTTGTCTTTAAATCTGTGTTCCAAAATTGTGATGCTCCGACTTAATGATGTATGTATCTCATTATGATGATTCTGAATCATTTGGTTCACGAAGTCCCAATCTCTACACAAATCTTCCTTACTATTTCTCAATCAATTCTTTAATGTAGCATGGGCAGACTTAACACGGCTGGTTGTTGTATTTCTAAGGTGTTTAACTTGATCAGTCTAAGCACAAATAATTTTCTCCTTCACCTAGTCAAGAATTGTGTTTTCAACATATTTCAACAAATCATGATACTTTTCACACACTTTTCTGAAATGCATAACAGAATCGGCATACAATTCTTTTGTGGAAGAATTTACTATACAATTCCATGCATCAATTATTTTTTCCACAACCACATCCGCCTTCACCAATTTTTCATCTTTAGACTCTATCTACTTTGTCCCTACCGCGAGTTTAACCTGAATTCTCACATTCTTTGTTATGTGATACCTACAATGTAATGTGTAAGAAGTAGGAAATATCTTTGAAACTGAATTCATCAAGGCGGTGTCGTTGTCAGTAACAATCACTTTAGATATCTCTTCTTGGTCCTTCAACAGTACCCAAAACACCTATAAGACCCAATAACATTCTCCTCTTTTTCACTCTTTAGAAATGCAAATCCCGACATAATAGGTCTTCCCAGTAGAGGTAACTCCAACCATCTCCAATAATGGAAGTATATACTTGTTGGTCCTGTAGGTTGAATCAAGTATGAGCACAGTAGGAAACACGTTGAACAACTTGATGGAATTCAGATGAGTTCAAAATATATCTCTAGCGTAACTCCATCATTGCACGTTCAATACCTAGACACATAATTATTACCATCCAACAGTTTCAAGAGTTGTTGTATTTAAGTTCTATCCCCCCTCAACGCCATATTAGTTTGATACCGAATATTATACACTTGCTTGATATTTGAGATATTTTCGGGTCTTTTACGTTTCAATGTTACAAGTATATTTTTCGGTTGAATCAAATTCAATGTCATGTCAGCAACGCATTCCTTCTCTTCTGGCATGAGCTGACACACAATTGAATGACCGACTAAATTTTCACACAAATCATGATTATTCAAACCACATATGACATTAAATCTCCAATTTTTGTTTGCCAACATATACCCACGCACTTTAAAGGGACACTCACATTTTCTTAAACCGATATTTTCTCGTTTAAAATTTCGGAGAAGAGGTATATATTTCCCGCTTCTTTCGAACGTCATGTCACAAAAACGCATCTTCTAGTTGAACCATTATCGGATCTTCCGATACCACACCAAATCCCAATTTTGAAGGCCTTCATACAAATCCATTGAAGCATTTGATCACAAGATTCAAACTCCTACTCATTTTTAAATTGGTTGCCAACATATACCTCTTTCACAACAACACCTTTGACATTCAGAGACAACTTGTTTAGAGAAAACATCGAGTGCACCATATCTAATAAAAACAATTACCACAGAACAGTAAATGAACAATACTGCTGAAAACAAATCTGAAAAATGAATACACACAAATATCAAAAATGCATTTTCGAATAAGTTTATACCTGTTCCAAAGATACATTTCTGGAAAAAACACTTGTTTTTCCGGAAGAAAAAAAAAACAGGATTAATGTGAGCAATGCAGCTTGAAATAAATAATCTTTACTTGAAATTCTAACTTCTTTTACTCCCTTTGATGTGATGAACCACAAGATTTGAGATTTGGAGTGAAAATAAAAGTTTTTGGTGAAGGTTTGTAAAGAAAATCAATAATGACTGTGTGATCATGCACCTGTGTGTTTTATCAGATTATTCTGGAGATGAATCTTCAAAAATACCTGACATGCAAAGATGACAACAAATTTCAAAATTCCGTCCTAATTTCTGGAGATAAGTCTCCAGAATTTCCACTCAGCTGATCAATTACCACAGAACAGTAAATGAACAATACTGCAGAAAACAAATCTGAAAAATGAATACACACAAATATCAAAAATGCATTTTCGGATAAGTTTATACCTGTTCCAAAGATACATTTCTGGAAAAAAAACGCTTGTTTTTCCAAAAGAAAAAAAAAACAGGATTAATGTGAGCAATGCAACTTGAAATAAATAATCTTTACTTGAAATTCTAACTTCTTTTACTCCCTTTGATCTGATGAACCACAAGATTTGAGATTTGAAGTGAAAATGAAAGTTTTTGGTGAAGATTTGTAAAGAAAATCAATAATGACTGTGTGATCATACACCTGTGTGTTTTATCAGATTATTCTAGAGATGAATCTTCAGAAATACCTGACATGCAAAGATGATAACAAATTTCAAAATCCCGTCTGAATTTCTGGAGATAAGTCTCCAGAATTTCCACTCAGCTGATCAATTATAAATATATTTTAGAGATGCATCTCTAATATTAAAAAAAAAACTCAATTTATAAGACGCCACTCATAATGGTCTATATTGAATGTGTATTAAATGTGTCTGAAAATACATCTTTAAAAATTAAAGAGTATTTAAGTATTTTTGCGTGGTATCTAAGTAATTTATTGGATGCATTACAAAATTATCTTTTTCTTTCATAAAGAAGAATATATGCATCCACATTCAGTTTTTGCTTGGACGAAAAACCCACTTTCATTTCGGAGACATATTCTCTTCCCAACAACATTGTGATTAAAAGAAAATGTTGTATATGTACTATATTTAGGAAACCTCTCAATCCTCTTCCTCATTCCTTTGCGGTTTCTCCATTCTCTAGATCTCCATTAACACCGATCGATAAACAGCTTAGTTGAACCACCCACAGTTTAACCACTTATGTCACAGTACAAACCAATTCAACACTGCACTATTAACTTTATCAAAACAATCAACAAACTCGCTGAGGCTGGTTCTGAGTCTAATTTTCAAAACATTGAATGTTCTAAATGCGCACATGCATAATCAATTCAGAAAAAAACACAGAGAATGTTCTCTGTATTGAAACAAAATAAGTTATATAATGATCATCCAAAAATGTCTTCAGTAATGAATGATTCCTCCTCAGTATCAATACATGATTCTGAAGGTATCTGAAGTGATTCATAGTTTAATTGCCTAGAAGCTTCATACAAAGCTATGCCAACACTAACCGATAAATTCAAACACCTGACGTATGTTTCCACCATCGGGATCTTAATAGTCCCACCGCCAAATGGTTCAGTTTTGCAGTCTAACAAAGCTTCAGGCGGAAGACCGGTCGTTTCAGCACCAAATAATAGATAATCGCCTTTTTTGTAGGAAAAATCCTGCAACATACAAAGGAACCGATAATTAACGTTTTCTGCAACCAAATAGAACCAAAATAGAGGGATTATGCTATTAAACTTGACGACGAGCAACTCACAGAATGAATTTTTGTTCCCCGCTTTGTAAATGCTAGCAATCGCTTTTCACCCTCCTGTAACAAATAATAGACATTATAGTCAAAAGGAAATCACAGCGATGATTCGAGCAATTTAATTTTTAGGATGATAATCACCTGTTGCAAAAAATAATCACGAAAACCTTCCCAAGAATCGTGAATTTTAACAACCACGTACGGCCAGTAGTCCAATCCAGCTCGCTTTAGTTTGGTATCATCCACCTTATATCCCAATGGCTGAACAGATAGAGGTATACAAATTACAAAGGCTATAATTAGTAGTTTACATTGCTGTTAAATCGCAGCTATAGCGGTACAATGGCGTAGCGGAATTTGGACAAATGATGGTGTTTTACAATATGCTATTCAATACAAAATGTTGCGAAAAAGAGGCTAGTGCCACTATAGCATTGTTGCATAGTAGAATTTGAACAAAACTGCTATTTTTGCGATCCGCAATTGACTATTGACGACACTATTATTTTGCAACAAACATGAAAATACAAGATAATCTTAAATATCAAATGTAAATAATTGTTGACATAAAAAGCAAAACTCACCCCAACTAAGTGTAGTCCAACAGCCGATGCTGCGCATGTTCTAGCAATGCAGCCAGTGTTTCCTGGAATCTAACAAGAACAACATGAATATCAGAGAACCCTTCTGAAATTGTGAGAAATTGAAGCTATAAATAAGTTTGCCAGAGTCAATCTACAATAGAGGAGTAGAACATAATTACTTTCTTTTGCAAGCTGATCATTACAACTTGTCATTTTTCGACAATTGTTTTCATAAATATCAGTTATTCTTTTGAATAAAAGTCATTGTTATTGGATTAAGGAACTCATTAGGAAAATGAAAAACCAAGAGATCTTAAATAGGATCAGTTTGGGAAAGATAGTAAAATTCGGATCGTTAGCACTTAGCACGGCAATACCAATAATAATTTAAAAAAATAAATAAATTAAAATTAATCATAAGTGTCGCCTGGTGTTTGACACCAACACTGATTCACATTTTTTCAGAAGTGTTGGTGCTAAGTAGAGTTAATAGATATCTTACCTGAGGGGAAACAAGAACAACCTGAAGAATCTTTGGATGTGAGGCTTCATTAACTCCCTCTCCAACACCGTGAGGCAAAGTTCCTTCCTTGCTTATCTCAACGGCAGCAGCAGTAGCAGAACCATCTGCAATAACATTTAAACAAAAATCATAACAACATTGAAACAATTGAAGCAACAAAAGCAAATTAAAATCAACCATGAGAATGAGAGATTACTGGTGAGAGAGGAGAAGGAAAGGGGAAATAGGCGAGGAGAAGAAGGAGAAGAAGAAATGGAGGGTTTGAAGTTAAATAAATTGATAGTTTGACGAAAAAGAGAAAGTTTGGAACGAAAATGAAAAGGGTTTGATGGCGGTAAGTTGAGCGATTTCAAGGCGGCAGGAAATGATATGTCCATTGCTTCCGCTTCGCTCTATCCAATGCACTGGGAGACTGTGTTACTGTTACACAGACATGTAGCTTAATGGTGGATTGGATTAAAATTTTAAAAAACTATATCGATATTAAAAAAATTTAAGACACTTTGTAAGATTATATTAATTTTTAAAATTTTAAAAAATATTTATGATCAAGAGGTTTCAATTTAAATTTTAAAATATTTTTTTATATATAATTTCGAAAATAGTTTATAGATTTTTAAAATTTAAAAGAAGTTAATGAATTATTTTTTAAAAAAAAAACAAAGTAATAAAAAAAAGGTATAAAAATAAGTTCATATTTCTCATATGACTAATGTTTCTTTAAATATTTATAAATATTTAAAGATATTATAGTTCTTCATAAATTAACATTTTACGTTATTGTGTTTGAAGAATGTCATATCTGCTGAAGCTATCAAAGCTTGTCAAACTTGAAGATTGAAGGTCAGATTCGTTGTAGTAAACGGAAACCATTTTATTTTTCTCATGCGCGTAGGGATGTTATTATCTAAAGGTTACTTACTAAAAAGGAAAAAAAAATTTAAATTAGTAAGCCCGTCAATATCTTGTAACTCTCTGCATATGTATCCTTATAATGCAATAAGGAAATCAGAACTTAGTAGTTCGGAGTAGAAAATAAGTGTGTGTTGATTGATTTTAGATTTGAAAATGTTTTGCATGCCCTAAGGCGGAAAATGAATTTGATTGGTTGTGAATTAAATGGAAGAGGTACTTGACGTTGGATCAAGCACATTCGTTGCGTTTAATGGAGTTTAATTTGAAAAATGTTTGACGTTGGATCAAGTTTAATTTTTTTGTCTTTTGAAAAAAAAAAGGCTATTTTATCGTTTTGATTTTATCTTGTTTATTAACATGTAGTAAAACGAAAAGTGATAAAAGTGTTACATGTTCATAGAGATTGGGAATATTTTACCCACAATAGGGATGAATCATAAACCAGGTAAGAATTAAAAAATTCATACAAGCATACAAACCATACAACCATTCAAAGTAAAAATAACTAAAATTGCATGTAAAATACTAAAGAAATTAGCACCCAATGTAACTATATTGAATTAAAACAAATGAAAAAAATATTTCTAAGATTATTATCTAAAAATTATTCTAGAAAGATGTCCTTAAAAAAAGGTTAATTTCTAATTAATGCCACCAATTTTATTATTTTTGTTTATACATGCAAAGATAAAGATCATGAGATCCTATTAAAAGGTTAATCCTAGCAAAATAATAATTTAAAATCTAAACAATGCAATTTGATTAAGAAAACATGAATTAAGAAATCACACTATTTCTAAGTATTTTTAATAAAATGCATAAAGGTATCTAAAGTGAGAAAAATATTAAAACAATAAAGAAAAGAAATTAAAGAAGAAAAGAAGAAAAATAAAAAAAAAATTAGAGTTAGAGAACGGTTAAATATAACAAGTGTGAGTAGTGTGAATAATAGTCTCATATTAGATAGGAATGTGGTGACTTGAACATTTATAAGTGGGAGAACCCACACACCTATCACTTTAAGATTTTGGGTGAGTATCTGATGTGTCTTTCACAAAGGTGTTGCTCTAAAAAGAAAGTCTCACAATGTTAAATGCTCCCTAGTGAAAATCTCCCCCTAACAAAAACAAGGGGTGATGACCTCTCATTTCCTACTTCTCTCATCTTCTCTACATTATCCTCTATTAATGGCTCATGAAGGTAAAAATGCACAAATCTAATTTTTTCTCAAAATTTATGAAAAAAGAGAGTTTTATATTAGATTTTCTATGAGTTTTAAGATTTTATTATAAATTCTAAGTTAAAGTTATGAGTGAGGTTTAGATTGGGTAGTTGAAATTCAAGAAAAATATTTATTGTGTTCTATGTCAAAATTTTGGGTTTTAGTTTAAAAAAATGATTTTTCAAATAAGTTGTTTCATTTTACATGCTTGAATTCATGCTTATGCAATAATTAATCCAATTTCATGCAAAAAAAACTATGTTAGAAACTCCTATATTATTTTTCCTTTGCGACTTAAATATGGTTTTGTGGATATAAATAAGTGCATATTGAAAAAGCTATTTTGGACAGGAGGATAAATTAAGGCTCTAGCATATACATTCTACAAGACTCATTCATGACAATGGTATGAAAAGGAAAAGATGAAGAATTACTGACGGAGCAGAGATTTTCCCCGGTTAGAAGTTGTTTGTGAACGACGCGTCGAAGATAAATGAAAAGCTTCGAGAGGTAAGTTCTTACACTTCCATTAATTCCTAAACTTGAACAATGATGATTGAATGTAAAATTTTATGGATGTGCTTGAATCTTGATGATTGAGATTTATGAATTCTAGATGATGAGTTTTTTTGAATTGTTGGAAATTGTTGAAACTTTGATGATTATGCTTGAAATTGAGCAGTGAATTGTTGAATGAATTGGGCTAAGTTTGTGAGTGCAACTTCTCCATGAGATGTTTTGCATGATGTAAAAACATTGAAACAACTTCGTATTTTGGTATATTGAACAACAACTCTGAGTATGTGTGGCTCATTTGCATTAGAGGTCTTAGGAATCATGAAAAATATATTTCTGCACAACAATGCACTATATGTGTCGGCATATACACATTTCAGGCTGACACATGTAACTCAATATTAAAGCATGTAGTCTCTGTTTCATTTGGGCTGGCACATACGTGCTTTATACCGACACATCTACTATCCTAAATAAGGTTGTAGGTTCTGTTTCATTGAGTCGACACATAGGTCCTTTCAGATCGAGACATACTGGAAGTTTCAACATTATGTGTCGGCACATACGTGCTTCAGGTCGGCACATCTACTGCTCTAAATAAGGTTGTATCCTCTGTTTGATTTGGGTCAACACATATGTCTACTCAGGTCGACACATGCTGTTATTTTTGACATTATGTGCTGGCACATCCATCGTTCAGGCTGGCAAATGCTGTTTAAATGGGTCAATTTTATTCATTTTTTTTACTCTAAAAATTACCTCTTTGTCACCAATCTTCCAAAACAATAAATACATCATTCATGCTTCATTCCAAACTGGTGATACCATAAAATTAGCTTGCATTTTCTCATCATCTTCAACCTCATTCCTATTTCTACACACTAACAAATCACACATAATAATCTTTTGTTGGGGTACCAGCTAGGCAAAGACCTGATAAGGTCCAATTGGGTTATTGTGTAGCCGAGATATTGGGTCGAGATTTGTAGGGGTCTTCATTCGGAAAAAAAACCGTGGGTTTGTCCTCCAATATTGTGTGAATATTTGGGGGTTTTCATGTAAGACGTTCAAGAGAGGATTGCGACATTGGGAAAGCCTTTGGAGATAACGTACGTAAAGGACCCTTTGGAGATCAAGCACATGTGTTGCGTTCAATGGAGTTTAATTTGAAAAACGCTTGATGTTGGATCAAGTTTTTTTTTGTCTTTTAAAGAAAAGGTTATTTTATCGTTTTGGTTTTATCTTGTTTATTAACATGTAAAGGAAAGCAGTAAAACGAAAAACGATAAAAGTGTTAAGAAATTACGCTATTTCTAAGTATTTTTAATAAAATGCATAAAGGTATCTAAAGTGAGAAAAATATTAAAACAATAAAGAAAAGAAATTAAAGAAGAAAGGAAGAAAAATATTAAAAAATTAGAGTTAGAGAATTGTTAAGTATAACAAGTGTGAGTAATGTGGATAATAGTCACACATCAGATAGGAATGTGGTGACTTGAGCATTTATAAGTGGGAGAACCCACACACCTATAATTTTAATTTGTGATGGATTCTGTAACCTTGGATTTTATATGTAAATTCTCAAAAATTTGTACTTGGTAAAGGACCTTGAATGGGTTTTGAATCCTTGTCATGGAAGACATGCTTTGAACTTGTAAATCCTTGGATTGTTCTTTGTGAATGGGGACTTCTTTTCACCTTAATTATGTCTTGAATTTTTGAGATAAGCTCTTGTAGTTTGGCTTTTTGAAATAGAACTCATGATGAATCATGGTATGATCTCCTTTATAGAAAGAGGTTTATTTCCATTTGTAATTATAAAAACTTGAACAAACAATTCTCTTTTTAAAAAAAGGACATTCTTTGAGTTTGTAGTCTTGGCCCATTTTATACCTCTTTTTAGAATCCTGAAATTAAATTTCTCACATGGTAAACTCAATGCATATCCTTAAATTAGTGAACCACTTTTATCCTCGCCCAAAACTCTTGAAGTTTAAGACTTAAACAAGATCCATCAATTACTAAGTTTTGCGAAAACAAAATGATTTGATCTTGTGTTCTTTGAAATTTGAGACTTGGCTTGTACTTGTAATGATGAATTTATAATTTTTAGGATGTAATGTGAATTCCTCTTGAGTTCTTGGGATTTTTATGCATCTCACCGTGACTAAATGATAAAAAGAGTTGTATTCTTGAATGGATTTGGTACAATATGAATTCCTATTGTTTTAGTATCCACCTCCCGCAAGTCAATCACTTTCCTCCATTTGTAATCCATCTTGCTATGAAAATTTAGCTGATCCTCGAATGACTATGCACAAAACAATAATAGAGAACCTTAGTCCTCATTGGAGAAATCTCTGAGAAATCTTGAGGAAGATTAACCTTGCTTTGACTGAGAATCATAAACATGAGGATATGTCATCTTCTTCATCTCAACACAACCTGCAAGGACTAGACCACATCCAAGGCCTTGAATTTTCTGCAACAGACCTAGCTTTATAAAACAAACAAAAATCGGTAAAAACGGTTAGCCATGCATGGATGATCGAACTATATGATATGCAACAGATCAATAAATCTAAGGGTAAAATTTGGGGTATAACAACTGGGATATTTCGGTTTATATTTGAGAGATACATTATGTACTCTACTTTATGTTTTTATGTTTATTTGAACTATGTGGAGTATAGGCTTTATGCCTAGGTATTGATTATGAATGAA